TGACGGCACTCGGGTTTTTTCCTATTTTTACAGCAGTTTCTCCATCTCCTTCCAAGGGCTGTTTTCCTCCATTCCTTAAACATTCCTTCTCTCTTGTATTCATCCTCCGGAAATTCTGTTTCTTTGTTATGGGGTGAGGCCCAGAAATCAGGATTTTAAAAAGATTCCCAGGTGATTCTAATGTGCAGCCAAGGTTGAGAACCACTGTTCTAATGCCGTGGTCGGCAAACTGCGGCTCGTGAGCCACATGCGGCTCTTTGGCCCCTTGAGTGTGGCTCTCCCTAAGCCTTAGGAGTACCCTAATTAATATCAGTGTATCTACCTATATAGTTTAAGTTTAAAAAATTTGGCTCTCAAAAGAAATTTCAGTCGTTGTACTGTTGATATTTGGCTCTGTTGACTAATGAGTTTGCCGACCACTGTTCTAATGTATCCATCCCTCAATTTCTTCTCTAGCTCTAATTCCTAATTCTTACCTGATGATTCTTGCCCCCCAGTCTAGACTTCTCTCTTGTATTCATACCTCAGGTTCATATCAGTGCTTTACAGTCTCAGCATATGTCAGACTGAATTCATCCATCCTCTGAATTTTGCACCTTTTTTTGTTGTTGTTCAGTAACATTTATTCAAAATTCAAGATTTAAAAGTAATTCTTCCAAAAAATATGCTTAAACAAGTTATTGGATTATTTTGCAGTATTTCTTTTTTAAATTGAGGTATAATTGACCTATAACATTATGTTAGTTTCAGGGGTACAGTGAAATGTATATATTTGATATTTGTATATATTGCAAAATGATCACAGTAAGTCTAGTTAACATCTACCACCATACAGTTACAAAATTTTTTTTTTCTTGTGATACAAACTTTTAAGATTTATTCTCTTAACAACTTTCGAATATGCAGTACAGCATTAACTATTCACCATACTGCACATTACATTCTCATGATTTATTTAATAATTGGAAATTTGTACCTTTTGACTCCCTTCACCCATTTTGTCCCCCAACCCCCAGATATGTTCTCTGTATCTATGAGTTCTGGGGGGTTTTTTGTTTTAGGATTCCACATATAAATGAGGTCATATGGTATTTGTCTTTCTCTATCTGACTTTGCCATTAAGGTCCATCCAACTTACACTAAAAAAAAAAGAAAAGAAGGAAAATGGCAAGGTATTTCTTATGACTGAATAATATTTCACTGTGTGTATGTCACATTTTAATTCATCCATTGATGGACACTTAGGCTGCTTCTATGTCTTGGCCATTGTAAATAATGCTGCAGTGAACATGGGGGTGCATATATCTTTCAAATTAGTGCTTTCCTTGAGGTAAATACTCAAAAGTGAAATTGCTGGATCATATGGTAATTTTGTTTTTAAATTGTTGAGGAACCTCTATATTGTTTCCCATTTGGAATTTACATTCCCACCAACAGTGCACAAGCGTTCTTTTTTCTCCACATCCTTGCCAATACTTATTTCTTGTGTGTTTTATAACTCATTCTAGCAGATATGAGGTGATATCTCATTTGATTTGGGTTTCCCTGATGATTAATGATATTGAATCTTTTTTTCATGTATCTGTTGGCCATCTTTGGGAAAATGTCTATTATCCTTTGCCCATTTTTTAATTGGATTGTTTGTTGTTGTTGTTAGCTATTGAGTTCTTTATATATTTTGGATTTGGATTTGGATCCCTTATCAAATATATGATTTGGATATACTATTTTCTATCATTCAATAAGTTGTACCTTCATTTTGTTGATAGTTTCCTTTGTTGTACAGAAGCTTTTTAGTTTGATGTGGTCCTACTTGTTTGTTTTTGGTGTCAAATCCAAAATATCATTACCAAGATCCATGTCAAGGAGCTTACCACCTATGTTTTATTCTAGGAGTTTTATGATTTTTGGTCTTACATTCAAGTCTTTACTCCATTTTGAGTTGATTTTTGTATGTGGTAAAAGGGAATGGTCCAGTTTCATTCATTCTTTTGCATGTGACTGTCCAGTTTTCCCAACACCATTTATTGAAAAGACTGTCCTTTCCCCATTGTATATTCTTGGCACCTTTGTCATAAATTGATCACATATGTGTGGGTTTATTTCTGGGCCCTCTGTACTGTTTCATTGATCCATGTGTCTGTTTTTATGCCAATACCATACTGTTTTATTATAGTCTTGTAATATTGTGTGAAATTAGGGAGCGTGCTGCCTCCAGCTTTGTTGTTTTTTCTGAAGATTACTTTGGCTATTTGGGTCTTTTGTGGTTCCATACAAACTTTAGGATTATTTGTTTTATTTCTTTGAAAAATGCCACTGGAATTTTGATGGGGATTGCATCGAATGTGTAGATTGCTGTGGGTAATATGGACATCATAACAATACTAGAGGCCCAGTGAACGAAATTCGTGCACAGGGGATGGGGGGCGGGTTTCTCTCCTCAACCCGGCCTGCACCCTCTCCAATCCGGGATGCCTCGGGGGATATCCAACTGCCTGCGGGATCGGGCCTAAACCGGCAGTTGGACATCCTCTTGCAATCCAGGACCGCTGATTCCTAACTGCTTACCTACCTGCCTGATGCCCCTAACTGTTCCCTGCCTGCCTGGTCGCCCCTAACTGCCCTCCCCTGCCGGCCTGATCCCCCTAACTGCTCTCCCTTGCCAGCCTGATTACCCCTAACTGCCCCTGTCTCAGCCCCGCCACCATGGCTTTGTCCGGAAGGACATCCAGAAGAACATCCGGAAGATGTCTGGTCTAATTAGCATATTACCCTTTTATTAGTATAGATTCTTCCAACCCATGAGCATGGAATATCTTTCATTAATATCTTATATAGTTTTCAGTGTGCAGGTCTTTTTCCTCCTTGGTTAAATTTATTCTGAGGTATTTTATTCTTTTTGATGCAATTATAAATGGGCTTCTTTTAAAATTTCTGATAGTTCATAATTAGTGTATTGAAATGCACCATATTTTTGCATATTGATATTGCATCCTGCAACTTTACTGATCTTGTTTACTAATTCTAAGAGGTTTTTGGTGGAGTCTTTAGGGTTTTCTATATATATGTCATTTGCAAATAATGACAATTTTACGTCTTCCTTTCCAATTTAGATGCCTTTATTTTCTTGCCTAATTGCTCTGGCTAGGACTTCCAATACTGTTGATTAAAAGTAGCCTTGTCTTGTTCCTGATCTTAGAGGAAAAGCTTTCAGCTTTTCACCATTGATATGATATTAGCTGTGGGCTTGTCCTATATGGCCTTTATTATGTTGAAGTACATTTCTTCTATACCAACTTTATTTAGAGTTTTTGTGATAAACCCTTCATTTTTTTAAAAATGTATTTGTATTGATTTCAGAGAGGAAGGGAGAGGGAGAGATAGAAACACCAATGACAAGAGAATCATTGATTGGCTGCCTCCTGCATGGCCCCCACAGGGTATCAAGCCCGCAACCCGGGCATGTGCCCTTGACCGGAATTGAACCCAGGACCCTTCAGTTCGCAGGCCAATGCTCTATCCACTGAGCCAGACTGGCTAGGGCAAGCCTTCATTTTCTTAATGTGCTGTATCACATTGATTAATTTGAACCATCCTTGTATCCCTGAACTTTGCACCTTCTGCATTCCCTATTTTAACCTAGCAGGTATAATTATGCACTCATTTGATCAAACCAGACACTGAGTCATCCTAGATGCTTTCTTCCTCTCCCTCCAGTCACTCACTACTCTGCCTTCAGCATTTTTCTCAAATCTACACCTTTCTTTTTGTTCTTCTGGACATTACCTAGGTTTAGGCACTCATCCTAATTTGGCTGCCGAAAGATCTGAAACCATATCCGATGTGTTACTTCCCTGCTGAAAACCCTCTCTTGACTCGCCATTGTACTGTCCCCCCTGCTTCCTCTCCAGGCCCATCTGCCATGCCACTCTGTGCACCTGCTGTTCCCACAATGATTGCCACTCTCTGCTCTGATGCTTTCCCACCTCTCCCCTGTCCTTTGACAGCTCTGGAAAGCGCCTTTGCCCCTCCCCCACATCTGTTTTAGGTGTTCCCCCTTCTGCCTGGAGCATGTTGCTTAGAAACCAGGGAGGTAGAGTAGAGAATGGCTGTGTGTGGGTTTGAATTCCAGCTCTGCTGCTTGATAGCTTTCTGAACTGGGACACTATTCTCTAGGCCTGTTTCTATGTGGGTCAGGGTGGAGTGGACAGTGCTCCTTTACAGAGTTTAGTGAATGTAGTTTTCATCTTAGCTTCTCACATTACTAACTCATCCATCAGGAGTCAGCTCAATACTTATCTGCCCTACACCTACCCTTCCCTGTCCAATTCCCCCCAAAATAACTTCTCCTTAAGGTTGTTTTAGCAGTAACGGCTAACATTTATTGAGTGTCTAATTTGTGCCATCTATTTTTCTAAGTACTAGGTGTACCTGTTAATAATAGCGGATTTTGTAATCAAAGGAAACACATTAATTTCAAGAGAAACATCAAAAGTTCTTTATTTAAAGTAATGTCCATCGCTAGCTACACATTTCCCCTTTTTTCAGGTAATTTGTGGATACCGTCCCAATAGCACTTTTCTTGTTTTGAGGCAGACCATTCCGAGACCCAATTTTCCACTTCTTCGTATGTTTTGAAGTGCTGCTCAGAAAGTGCATGTGCCATCGATCGGAACAAGTGGCAATCTGAAGGAGCAAGGCCTGGTGAATACAGTGGGTGGGTTAATACTTCCCAGGCAAGATCTTTTAATGTTTTTAGCTGGTTTTGAAGTGTGTGATGGTGCGTCATTATGAAGCAAAATTACCCTGCCGTGTCTTCTGGCCCATTCTAGTTGTTTCTTGATCAAAGCATGGTTCAGATGGATTATTTGTTGTCAGTAGTGATCAGTATTCACGGTTTCACCTGGTTTTAGAAGCTCATAATACACCACACCTTCCTGATCCCACCAAACACAGCATTGTCTT